TCCACAGGATGATCATTGCAATAGAGAAAACGACCGAATCGGAAAGCATAAGACAAGACAGGAAAGTAGGGTAAGCTAGAGTAATTTAATTAATCTGATACAACATATAATTCAAACACATACAAGAGTAAGTAAAGCCAATTACATAAATCATGCAACAACCAAACATACATTCTCAACAATGACTGAACATATGATATATGCATTGATCGATCAATTTTACTCTGACTGTCCGGACTGTATGAATTGTGTAGCTACGACATTTTTTGCGCCCGGATGGTGTAGTAGCTGGGATGCCCTCAACAGTTGTCACCAGAGTTAGCCCGTTATACCTCGCCTAAGTTACACTTATGGACTAGGACCTCCTGCCATTCTCACACATGAGTTACTCCTCTCTATGTGAGAATGAGTAATCACATAATATCAGGATAAACGTCAGCTTAACAATACCCACATTCATACTCTACAAATCCCAATACCATTTCTGAGATATTCCTCCTTGGAACACTCTTTCATATCCATATAATACAATTAACAACATACCATAATGTCATCATACTTCTTCACTTATATAATTCCAAACAACAGTAAAACAACAACACCCTTGAGAACGACCGAACTAACGATCTACAAGTCTTAATGAACAAGATCGGACGGAAAATCACTACCCATAAGATCATGATCGAGTGGTCATTTAAAGAATAAGACTCAAGCATAAGCTGAACACGATTTTAGGGTTGAACACTAAAACAACCAAATATTATTGCCTTAGATCGATCACTATTTGCTTTGGCTGAACACTATCAACTTAGGCCTAACACTTAGAATTTAGACCTAACCCAATACATACCGAGTGCTAGTAAAAGAACGAGCACTACTGAGACCGAGGGCTTAGTATAATACTGAGCACTACTGAGACCGAACGCTTAGTATAAGATTGAGCACTACTGAGACCGAGCGCTTAGTATAAGACTGAGCACTACTGAGATCGAGCGCTTAGTATAAGACTGAGCACTACTAAGACCGAGCGCTTAGTATAAGACTGAGCACTACTGAGGTCGAGCGCTTAGTATAAGACCGAGCACTACCGAGATCAGTATGTGACCGAACACTGTTTACATTCAATTGTTATGTCTAGACCAACTAGTATACTCCCTAAATTTCAATACAAGACAGATCAATTATCAACTAAGGATCCTCAAAGTAAACTCTTAAGAGACCAATCACCAATACAAATCGAATACTACTAAGAACGAGAGCTAACCTATTATGACTATTATTAAAAGATAATACCTACCCTACAACTATCGAGATCAAAACGAATACCTTTAAAACCGAACGTCAATACCACACTTAACCAGATTATCACTACGAAACTGAATATTGTTTAAACATGATACCAAACCGATCGTTCTATACCGATCGCTAGATTTTCTACAAAATGTGCAGAACCCATCAACCACCTCACATGTTTCGTTCAAATATAGAATATTTCATACAATTTAATCAAACATACAATTGTTCATATATGCAACCGCTCAAACATAGATTCCAAACACAAACATAGAAAATGTAATTAAATTATTAGCTTCCTTTATCTCGAAACCAGAAAACTTCTATGCTTCCACCGTATTGCCTACACTGCCAGTAACTTCTGTAACCTCCAACAACTGCTGATTGGTGAAAATGAACCAATCATAGATCCAAAGACAGAAGATAGATTCAAAGGGAGAGTTTGATGAACACATGCAAGCTGAACAATGCTTGCATATAACAAAAAATGCATAAATCCTAAAAGGACGAAGGGGTTTAACTTACCAACTCCAAAACAGAAACTTGATCGGCTTAAAAGAGAGAGCTTGACACCCAAAATACTTAAGTGTTGCTTGAATGATGACCGGAAGAAGGAAAAGATAAGAATTTGTAGAGAGAAGGAGAAAAAATTTAGAGAGAAGGAGGAGAAAACTGAAACTCATAAGGTTGAAGAGAATGAGTGCATGCAGAAAGTGGCACGACATTTGAAAAATTTGCTTATATACTATCGTCAATAAACCGATCAGCCACTTAGCTCTGCACACATGTCTTCCACTTTCTGAATTTCTAAATCCTTACACCTACACCTGGATTCCACTATCTACTGAATTTAAAGGTCTTGACACTCTAACTAATTAAATTTTACTTTTTGACTAAAACAAAAGTCAGTAAATTTTTCTTTTAGATTAAACTAGGTTTTAAGTTAGTCTTTGTTTTAAATTCTCAATTCACCCTAACATATTATTTTACATTTAAAAAGTAAAAAAAAACTTAAATAACCGGTTTTTCCATATTTATATTATTAAATTATATTGTATGCTTTTATGTTATTTTATATATATTGTTATCATTAATACATGCTGAATTATGATCCAATTACGAGTTCCAATTTTAGACTACTATGTTATGATGTGGTGGTGCAAACTCATATACGTGATGCACGTTCTTAATAGATTTTAGGGAAAACAATAGGTAGATATGACGAGGTTATGTATCAATTCACCCAAAAACAGAAAGGAAGTTACTTATCAGATTCAACTTAATGTTATTTGACTTTCTCAATATAATATTTGGTGTCAATCCTTATCAAACAAAACTAATGCCAATATACTTGTTCTATTTTATTATTTTGACAACAAACGTTCGTTCAATCTTTAAATTATTTATTATTTCTAAGACGTATTGATCAAGATTTATAAACCCATTTCATCATCTTTGTTCTAATTTTAAAATATTATGCAATCATAAATTGTTGCACTTTTTTGTTTGGATAATATTTTCAAACTTAGAGTTGGTTTAAGTATATGTTGATTCCCTTGGAGTAATTTTTGTTTTGGTCCAAAATTTAGTTTTTAATCTCTCAAATTATAAATATATGATTAGAATCTAAATTCGAGTGACTGAAATTAGTTGTATGGGGTTTAGGATTCAAACTTTAAGATTCAGAGACTAAGGTTTTGTGGTTTAGGATATAAGATTTATGGTCTTGTCTAAAAATGATTTTAATTTTTCAAATTTAACACTTAGAAATTAAATTATATTTTTTCAATTGTGATAAAAAAATTGAAAAAAAATTGGAGATCAAAAGAAAAATTATTTTAAATTTTTGGACTAAAACATAATTAAATCCTTTGTCATTTTTTTTCTTATTATGATTGGATTTAAAAAATTAAAATTACAGTTTTTGTTACATAGTAATATTTAAACAATCAAAATCCATAGCATAAATGTATTTACTATATTTAATGGAAGAATAAAGTGTCTACCAAAAGAAGATGAAGAAAGAGAAAGAAAAAAAGTGTAAGAGTTTGAATACAACTATTTGATGCTTGAACTTAACAGAAATCATATGAAAGTAGCCGTTGGAATTTGTATGTTTTTGAAAAACCAAAAAAATTGTTGCAAAAGTCTTAATTTAATACTGTCACATGTCGTTGTACTTGTTTTCTTAAAATTTTGATAAAATCAATACAAAACTTTAGTTATATATATTATTATAAAATCATAATTAAGTGGCATAAAGCGGTTTAGTGAAAGGTCATGTCAAATCTTAATTAAATAGGACAAAACCTTCCATTAAAAATATTTTAAAATCATAATCTAGTGCATGTCCTTCTTGAAAGGACTAATATATTTCAACACCACACCGTGGAAGATATCAATCTTTTTACCTTTGAAAATCTCTACCAAATGACCTGTGAAAAGTAAATAAAACGATAAAATTTAAAATCTTGTTTGGACGTATAGCTATAATACGTCATGCATGACTGCAGTGTAAGTGACAGAAAAATAAACATAAAACCATCACTATATAAAATCGAAACTTCACATTCGGTTTCAGCATTCAGATCTTGCAATTATGTATCCTTACATTGGTGCCAAACAAGAGTTTTGACATGATGTGTCCTTACATATAAAATATGAAAATTATATTTTGAAAGTTTCATTTTTTTTCACTTTACAATCCTTTTTAATAATAAAATATTGTATTTAATTAATAAAAATAAAATAAATTAAATTTATATGATTTAGTTTAAAAATTAAAATGACAGTAGATTTATTTGAGTAAATAATTTTCAAAATAAATATATTTTGGAAAATAATTCGTATGATACGGACCCATATGATACTTTTTAATTAGGTAAAAAGAATACATGGTCGCCTAGTAGCTTATTAATAAATTACGTAAATATTTAGTTAATTAATATTTTTTATTAAATAATTTAAAAGTATTATTATTAATAATTAAAAATTATTTTATAAATAATAATATATTGGTATATTTTAAACAATAATATAAAAATATTTTTTGAATTATTTTTATTTTTATTTTAATTTAGAAAAGCTTGCAAATTAATACCATCATTGACAAGTCGGTGTCCAAGTCGGAGACTACCACGGAGTTTATTTTGCCATCTAAAATATAAAACACAAAAGTTTCATATTATGTAATTTATTTTCTTTTAAAGAGTTTATTTAATAATTTGTCCCATATATATTACTGGGTCCCATACCAACAAAGACGAAGATACATGAATGAATCCGTAGTTAAAGAAAGTCAAATTTTCAGTTTCCCAAAGTGTGAAAGCCTCCAATATTCTATTCAAGGTGATTTTATCTATAAACGCTAGAGGTATGCAATTCAACTTCTCAACTTGCTACACATGTTAATTACATTCAACCTGAAATTTATTTATTTCTTTTGGTGAAAAATTGATTTCAATTTCACTAAAATTTAATTATTTATTTTAATCTTATCACTTAATTTTAAAATCTAATCCAGAAAGTATTTAAAATTACACATTTTAATAAACATTTATTTTTTAAATTACAATTAATCCTATTAAAAGTATTTTGGATCTGAGAGTTCATTTTACAAAGAAATTACTGAAATTCAATTCAATTTCGTGTGTGTGTATATATGTATTATTTTGTTTTTATATAAATGAAGTTGAGTGAACAATTTGTACAAGTGTGCTCTAATAAATGGATCCACACTGTGATCCTGCTACCTTAAGCTATTTAAACAAAGCCTTCGACAGTGGGGTTTTCTAAGCTCTCTCTTACGTAGGGTACGCAAATATTTTTCCTAATTACTTTTCTGTGGTTTTTTGTCATAATGATGTTCACTTTTTCATAATAAGTGCGTTTATTAGCTTTCTTCTTTTGAATTTTGTTGTGCAAACTTTTTTGGCTTAATTTAGTGACTCAAATTCAGAGGACTATACCATCCCTGTGTGTCTAAATCTAAGTTTCTCTGATTTCTGATTGAATAATTATATTATAAGTGCATTTCTTTGGAATCTGCATCTGTTCAATTTCTTTAATCGATGGATAATTAGATACTGATTAAGTTTTTGTTAACAGATGAAAATGGAATTGGTTATGCCGTTGACGATACTTGTGGTGATATTGGGCACAACTTGTGGTGCTTTTGGGGAGTTGGAAAGTAACGTGAAAACAGCAGTTCTTCTTTCCCCCAAGTTTGAGCTTGGACCGGGATCGGTTGCTAATAAATATGATTACGATATTGATTTTCCCAGAGGTCATATAGCTCTTAAGAGTTTCAACGCGGAAGTAGTTGATGAATCAGGGAACCAAGTGCCTCTCCATGAAACCTATCTGCATCACTGGGTTGTCGAAAGATACTACGAACCAAAACATGTGACAACACAAACAAGGTACGATGGTCATAGGTTGCTTCGCCCATCTGGCCATGTATTGGTGAGGAACAGCGGAGTATGCCAGAGAAATACGCTGGGACAATACTACGGTCTTGGATCCGAAACACGTGGAACAGCTACGGATGTTCCTGATCCCTTTGGGATAGTTGTGGGTGATCCAGCAGAAATTCCAGATGGGTATGAGGAGAAATGGATGCTGAATATCCATGCCATTGATACACGCGGTGTGGTGGATAAATTGGGGTGTACTGAATGCAGGTGTGACCTTTACAATGTTACAGAGGATGAATATGGGAAGCCTATCAGGTCAGACTACAAAGGAGGTTTGTTTTGTTGCTACGATCAAACCCAGTGCATGTTGAGGGAAGGTTTTGATGGCCCAAAGAGGACTCTCTATCTCAGATACACTGTCAAGTGGGTTGATTGGGACAAGTTTATAGTGCCTGTTAAGATTTACATATTCGATGTCACTGATACTTTCAAAATACCAGATGATTCTTCAGGAGCCATTCCTCAGCATAATTGTTTGGTAAGTGAATTTGTAGATTGTATCAACTTGAATTTTATAAAACATAAAATAGATCGTAGAATTGACATGCAAAACTTTGTTACAGACCGAGTACAATGTTGAATCTTGCAGCCCTGGTGAAGAAAAGGACTGTGTTCATGTTAAGAGAACAAGTTTCCCCATGCAAAAGGGTGGTTATCTCATCTATGGTGTTGCTCACCAGCATTCAGGTGGTATTGGATCAAGTTTATATGGAAAGGTAATATTCAATGTTGCAGTCGTTGTTAATTTCCAATTGATGTGGATCAGAAGTTTAATTTACATGAATATTATGCTACATGACATTTTCAGGATGGAAGGGTAATATGTTCTTCAATACCTACGTATGGAAATGGAAAAGATGCAGGAAATGAGGAAAACTACATTGTAGGAATGACTACATGTTATCCAAAACCAGGTTCTTTAAAAATAAAGGATGGTGAAACTGTGACTCTAGAGTCTAACTATAGCAGCAGTCGTGGTCACACTGGAGTAATGGGGCTTTTCTACCTGTTGGTGGCAGAACAACTTCCACACCAACACTTCAGACACTCTACTCGTTCTTCATTCTTTACCAATATAAATACTTTATTTGCTTGATACATAAATAGTGAAAGATAGTTTTAGATTAAGGAATGTAGAAATGGGATTATCAATAATTTGTGTTTATGTGTCCTTTGTATTATTAAGTCAGTATTCCTTATGATACTTCGACTTGTTTTATTTTATGTATTTGTATTCAATATATCAATACTCTTTGATATTTCTGTGATATGTATTGTGAAGTACCCAAATTACACTTTTGAGATAATAATACTTTATAATTTGTTATTTTCAGAATGTTTAAGGTATGTTGTTGTAATTTAAATCTGTTTATGTATTATTATGTTTTAAGATTTTTAATATGCTTTTAAATATCCATGTCACGTATTATTTTTAAAATAAGTGTATTATCCTATTTTATTCGCGTATTATAGTAATTATGTGATGCCCAATATTTTTACATAAATCATTATCCGTCATAGACACTGTTTGGCATGAATATTAGCAAAATAAGTTAAGAATTCTAAGCAGTTATTTGGTAACACAAGAGACAACGAAGATGAGTAAAAGAGTTTTTTTTTTCTTTCTTTATTTTTTTTAAAGAATGCTTATAATTTGATTAGCTAAAAAGTATGAATAATTTGGTTTAAACTTGACATTTTAGATAAAGATTAAGATTGATTTATAAAATATGAATGAGAACCATTTCTATTTTACAACTTGATTTACTTGCTTCGTAATGCTATTTTATGTTTTTACTTTTTCCAGGAGATTGAAATCAAGTAATCATATGATACGATGTCAATTGATATAATTATATAAATGAAAAAACATAATTTTTTTAATATTTAATAAATTAAAACTTTGTTTATAAAAACTTAATTAAAAGTATTAAAATTTATAATAAAACTTAAACAAAAACATTTTTATCTGAATTTCTCAATTTTCCAATAAATATATATTTTCCAATTTTACCCTTCAATAAATATATTTTTTAAATTAAAATAATTGCTTTATCAATTTCACTTTTTTTAAGTGTTTATTTTTTTAAGAAAATTTAACCCTTTTTTTTAATTTGATTATTTTTTAAACTTAATTATTTTACCGTAAAATAAATAAAAATAATTTACAATGAAAATATAAAAATTATTTCAATTTTATAATTATAATAATAACAACAATAATAATAATTTTATTATTTTCTATTATCATAACAAACGTAATGCACGTATTTTTACTAATATAAAATAATATCAATATATTAGATAAATAACAATAAAATTATTTGAAAACATAAATAACAATAAAATTAATTAACATGAATTCAAGTAAAATTGTCATCCACTCAATTAAATAAATATTTTAGTAAATTAATAGTTAAATTAATAAAAACATATAAAACTTAATTAAACATAAAAGGAAAGGATAAAGTAAAAGTTTATATTTTTATTATTTTAAAATGCTAAAATTCATCCCTATTTGGATTTGAATATGAATTTGGAAAAAATAATTTGAAGAGAAATGGATGTGAAAAGTGATATTGATTGAATTAAGAGAAAGATGATAAAAAAAAAATAAGGATTTGAGATAAAAAATTATAAAAGTTAATAAGTAAAGCGACATAGATTAATAAAATTATATTAACATTTTACTTCTATCATAAAAATAATTTACAATAAAATTAAATTAAAGTAGTACTAATTGTATTAAAATGAAATACAATTATTGTAATAATTATTATAATTATAATTATATATTAGTTTATTATATTATATTATATTAATTAATTAATTATTAATATTTTATATATAAAAATTAAAAATACATGTATAAAGAAATCAAAAATCAATTTATATATAAGAAAAATGAAGGAATCAATTCACTTTGTCTGCCATAATCGATTTTAATATCATATATTTTCTCTTTTGAGTCAAGTAATCCGCCAACTAAAAAGCAAAAGTTTTGTAATCTTTTTCCAAACTAATTATATATATATATATATATATATATATATATATATATATATATAAACGTAATTAAAATATTAAAATTTACAATAATTTATTTTTTATTTTTTATTATCGTAATCTATGTATTTTCACTAATATAAAATAATATCAATACATCACATAAATAACAATAAAATTAATTAACATAACTTAAAGTAAAAAATAAATGTCATCCGCTCAATTAAATAAATAATTTAATAACAAATTAGTTAAAAATACCTAAATTAATAAAAACATATAAAACTTAATTAAACATAAAGTGAAAGGATAAAGTAAAAATTTATATTTTTATTATTTTTAAATGCTGAGAAACTAAATTTTAGCTGTATTTAAATTGAATATGAATTTGCTAAGGTGGATTTGAAAAAAATAATGTGAAAAATGATATTGTTTGGATTAAGAGGAAGATAGTAAAAAATGAATGATTTAGGATAAAATTTAATTATTAATAACGTGACAATAAAAATGAAAATTACCATTATATTCTTATCATAAAAATAATTTAAAATGAAATAAAATAAAATAAAATAAAATTAGTGCTAATTAATTAAAATGAAATATAAATTATTATAATTATATTACTTTATTATAATAATTAATTAATTATTAATATTTTATGTATAAAAAAATAAAAAATATGTATAAAGAAAGTGAAAATCAATTTATTTATACATATAAGCAAAGGTTGTGCAGGAACAAAATTCTTTGCACATGGTTCACAAATAATTCTATCAAATATATTTTTAAATAAATATAAGAATGCTATTGAATCACAAACTATCATCTTTAGTTAGGTTAGCTCCACAACCTATATTAATAAATACATTCACATTTCATGCAATAAAATAAAATAAAATATAAACCAAAAACTATCACCTAAAAAAAGTTTCTGGATTTCTAAAATAACTGGTGGATTAAAAACTTTTATACAAAACAATAAAATCTGTTTCTCATTGGCTTGGGAAATAGAGAAAAATAAAATATCTTATCTTGAGCATTGTGCTGTTATGGGACAAATAGAATAGCTGATAAATTTGGTGAAAAATAAGCTTCATTTATGATGAAAGGTACTTACCATATTGAAAAGGCCACTTATCAGATTGAGTGTCTCAAAGTTGCTCATGCCAACATCATTTCTACTTTCTAGATCATAGTAGCATTATCAAGAAAGCAATGTGCATTTGTTCAAATCTTTAAATCAATTATTATTTTTAAAACATTAACCTTTGTTTTTTCAATTCCAATACATTTGTTGACAATTATCAAAGAGAAACGTTAATGATTGTATTTTAATTAAAATTTTCATTTTAATACTATTAGAATCAACCTCTGGTTATATCTCTACATTGTATCCATATACAGGCCATAACTTACAATAATTATCACAAAAAAATAGTCTGAAAAAATATATACATATGTATTTATCTTTAATAAATTTCGAACTAATAATAAAAATTAAGCTTATTGTATTTATTTTTCTTTTATCATTCCCATTTGTCCGGACTATGAGATGAGAATTCCTATAATTTCGCTTAAGTAATTAAACTCACTTTTATCATATTTCAACAATTAGTTTTATATATTGATTATTCGTAGTGTCTTGATTAAAAGAATCTTAATTATAAATTGTGGTTTTATTGGTATTTTGAAGAATAAATCGTTGCATTCAAAAAGCTTCTCTTCTCAAATAAAGTGTTGGGTATGTGTTGCCTTATTTTACAGGAGTTAACTCTAATCTATATGGTTTATGCTAATCTATATGGTTTATGACTAAAAAAGTTTATAAGATAAAAAAGTTTTTATTAGAAAATTCCACAATATTAAAATGTCCAAAATAAACTCTGAATCATGGTTAGCTCATAAACTTTCTTTTTTACATAAACAAAATGTTAATTATTTTAAAATATATTATTGGACTTGTAACCAATAACAAGTATAAAAAATCAAAACTTTAATTCAAATCGATTTTTGAATCGGTCTCGTTTGTTTCAAACTTCATTTTAAGTCAGTTTGTTTCATTTTTTGCTTGGACTGACTCATCATGATCTTCGTCTAAACTAGCTCATTCATAAATGTCCAATTTAAATGAATTTTAAAATAATTTTGACACTTATCTTGTTTTGATTTCGTTTATATTATGCTTAATTCACCCCTATTTAGGTCGTTTTACAATTCTTGATATTAATAGGGAGTCAAAGTGAAAAACTAAAGAAAATAGATAAAATTCAAGCAATTTTAGACAAGACTAACACCAGTGCAGTTGAGTAGAAGAGTTAGCTTGAGCTAGACAAGCAAACCATAATGGGAAACTTCAAGAACTAAACCTACGGCTAAGCCATGAAGACTTCTTCTCAAAGAAGTTACTTAGAGGCTGGAGCACGAGAGCATGAGGCTAAAGCCACAAGAGCAAACCCTCATGGGAAGGAAACCTTAAGCACCCACTATTGAAAATATTTGGAATGTAACTTTTACAACTTTAGCTCATAATGTGGAACTTAAGCCCTAAGAAAGGCGGTTTAGAAAGACCTGAATAAAACCTCTACGGCTTAAGCACAATTGTAGCTGAGCAGTATCCTAAATAATTTATAAAAATAGACCTCGTGTCCTCATTTCAGGCATTACATGGAAGATCAAGTTTGTAGTAGTAGAGTAGGAATGAGTTTGTGAGGCTCAAAGAGATGCTTTCATTGTAGATCTTATGTCTAGATGTTGTTGGAGTTATGTTACAATATGATACGAGTAGCTAAACTTTGTCGTGTCTAAGTTGGATGTAATCAATTCTAATTCTTTATACTTTTATTTCTTGAATATGTATTTATGCTTTCATTTAATCTATTTGTAAATTAGTATGTTTTTGTTGTTGGATGAACTGGTCACTTGTTTTATTTCACTGGTTTAGGATCAAGTGGGAATTGGTTCTGAGTTGTAGTTCAACTAGTTCTCTTTATGCTTTTAGATGCTAGGAATAGATCTAAAGCTCTAGCTGGTTATAAAGTCCTGATCTTAATACAAATGATTCATTTTAGCAATCACTAAGAATCCTATTGAAGTTTGATTACCTTAGTATCTAGGTGCTAGAAATGAATGTAGAGTTACATTTAAAGAGCACTCCCGAGAAAATGAATGATTTTTTTAAGTACATAGGCAAGATCAATAATGGTGTAGTGGGAGAGGATGAGATGAAATCCACTCATATCTTGTACTTCACTCAATCTATATAATATATGCTACTATCAATCTTTTTCAAATACAAAAACTAAAAAATAAACAACCAATATGCTTGCT